CTACTTCTGTGCCAGAATTCAGTAAATGCTCTAGGTTGTAATTTCAGCTTATTTAAGTTATACTGGATTTGACCTTGAGGTAGTGTAAGCTTGTGTACGTCCGTTCATTGCAATGGCATTTCAGTGTTCAGCCTCTGCGCTGCTAACAGTAACTAACTTGCCTACTGGTAATTCTCATTTTCTTCAAAGTTGCATCAGAAATAGTGACTATAATTAGAGTAGAAAGAAGGTGATTACACGAAGACTTCGTTTTCTGAAGTAAGTCTGAAACCTTGAACAATAAAACCAAGGAAAACCCACTTGCTTTCTAGTTACTTAATTTTGATTGTTTTTGGTTTTTAAGAATCCATGGAGTCCTTTATTGTGCCAGAATGCAATGTCATGGTTTAAAATAGTTGCATAATCTTACAAACTAACTGAAAGATTGAAAGTACATTTAAAGCATATTATGTCTTACAGTCTTTCTGAAAAGCACATGACTGGCATGTGAAAGCAAGGTGTTAGCTCCAACAATGATCTGCATTTCCTAGTCACCGTGCCAGGCAGTGCTCTTTTTCAGAAAGGTTAGCATGCTCATGGATGAACTGGCACGTAGTCAATGTAGCGTGATGTGTGTTAAAGATGGTCCTCCCTGGAAGAAGCTGTGGGAGCCGGAGTGTGGGATATTCTGCACTGCCAGGGTGCAGCAGATACCTGATCTCAGAATCACAGATGACTTCAGCTTCAAGAACTGACAAGTTGATTTTTCTTTTCAGGGGCAATACGTTGCTTCTTAGAATACTGTCTGAAACCATATTCATTCTGAAATCCCAGTATAGCAGTTCTATGCAGCAATAAAAACACACTTCTTTTTCTCTCGTTTTAGGATTCAGGGTTAAGATTCCACTATGTGGCTGCCGGAGAAAGGGGTAAACCACTCATGCTGCTGCTTCATGGCTTTCCAGAATTCTGGTAAAACTCCCCGCACACTTTTCTTGTATAAAAGAGGCTGCTTAAGATACCCGAGAGTGATCATCTCAGCTTAAGTATACCCAATAAGATCCATTTTATGTATCTATGAGTACTAACTAAGGGCATGAAGTTTTAGTAGGGAACAAACTGAAACTTTAACTGCAGCATCCACAAAAAATTCCTGCAGGCCGACACAAGCCAGCCATCTTTTTTGCCTTGTCAACCCATTTTTCCCCAAGTATGTACGCTGTTCTTCAAACTTTGGGGAGGAACTGTTCATTTTTAATGAATTTCCTGTTTGGATGACATTTTTATTAATACAGCTAAACTTATGACTTCTAGCAGAAGGTGTTAAAATGAGGATCCGTTACGTGTTAAGTGCAATATGGATTGCTGCATTTGTTAAAAATACTATACATTAATTTTTAACTGGGGGAGGGGAAGAAGAACTATGAGTTCTACAGGCTATTGTGCAGCCTAATTTCAGAATGCTACTCAGGGAAAAAGGTTCTATTACTAGTTCATCATAAGATGAATGATGAATCAAACTCAATCCTAAATGTTTGTTTATAACAATGAGAAGCAGTCATGTGTCTAATGATTTAACCAAATTGCTCAGGCTGTCATTGCCAGGTTTACTAGTGAAGCATGACTTACAGAACTTGCACCAAAAAAAATAATAAGGGAATAGGGGAAGTGGAGATGCCAGTAATTCAGCTAGTTAAACAGTCCTTTTTGTTTCTAAACTCAGATATGGAGCTAGGCTCCACTGTTGGAACTGTGATCTTTCAAGCTGGACTCAGGTCATACTGTGATAAATTGACCCAGGTTAACCGGAGGTCAGTTCTTTTCCCTTAGCAATTTCCTATAGATACTAAATGGCCTTGAGGATGATGGTAGAAAGTCATATTTATTTTATAATAACTTTTCAAAGATGTAGATTGTTCTAATAATAAATTGCTATCCAAAAGGATTAAAACTGTAAACTTTGATTAAAAATACGGTTAGATTAGGGGGGTTGCATATTCTATGCGAACGTTATGCATACCTTGCATAATGCATGTTCCTACACAATAAGACAGCTAATGCTACAGCTAGTTTCACCTACAGTGATGATAATACTGCAAAATTTAGCATTTTATATACATATTTTACTGATACCTGGTATATTATTTTCGAAAAGCAGAAAACCATTCTTACGGTTTAGAATAATGAGTCGTGCTTTAAGTGACAGTTAATATATTATCTGACCATTCAAAAGCAGTTAGTAAGAAACTGTTATATAGGTCACTAGGACTACTAATAGCATAGTTTACATAACTGTTTTTAAAAAGAAGAATAGATCCCAATATTCTATAAAGTAGTCACACTACCAATACTGATGTTCATTTGTTAATTCAATCAGTGAGGAATTTTTTATGCAAGAATATTGTTCTGAGAGCATGAGATAAAGTAATCACATTTTAAGAGATATTTAAAGCCACATCGAATTTGTATCATTTGGCTAGCAAAAAAACCACCCCAGACAGGTGGTTCACAGTTAGAAATCTTAATTGTAACAAATCCTCTGCCTTCAAATGTCTCCAGGTTCTAAGTAGGACAACTATAGCCAGACAATACTAACCTTAGTGAGTGATTGAGAATGTCTGAAGATGAAAGATCACTTAAGAATATAACTCACCAGAGCCATTAAGTGTTTTAGATGCATAAGAACTTGAAAGTCAATAGTCAATGTTGTACAAAGACAATAATAAAATATTTTAAATTGGGCAGAATGTACTGAGACAGCTGCGTATCTGTAAGACACGCGTGAACTGCTCAATTTTGTACAAGCTGCCTTTCAGAAGTAATGTGATCAGAAAGTCACAAAATATTTTTCATTAGTCAAGCTTATGAACATGAAAGCATTCACCAACATTTCCAAATTCTGCTTACAAAGCAGTTGCCCAATAGTTTCATTTCGTATGTGGTAAAAGGATTTCTTTGAATATAAAACATACCCATTTCGTAGGTCAGACATTTGGTGTTTGATGGACTGTTTGGAAAACAGAAGATGAGGATAGCAAGTAGACATTTTCTGAAAACAAAAATTGTTTGTTTGTTTATTTATTTACGGGCCTCATTGTTTCTTTTTACTGAAGAATATAGGGTAGCTACAACAGTTACCATGGCAAATTCAGCTTCCAAGTCATTGTATAATGCCTTTAAAAATGTCATTCTTGGCGATCTCAGCTAAATCTTGTATTTGCATTATATGGCACTGAAATGAAAAGGTTCTGACTGTTCTGTTTATACGAATACAAATTTCTATAATTAATGAGTGTTACTGTAACATTACTTATGTTCAAAATCCTTAATAGGCTGGAGGCAAAGCTAAAGTGGAAGAGCCAATGGTCTGATATAGACACTATTTGCATTAAGGTAGAATTCTGCACATCACTCTTACAATTGCTGATGATCCAAATGTTATATATAATTTAGCTGAGATTGTGAAACGAGCAGAAGTAAAAGCTAGATCCTAGCACAGAGGGATGCAGCCATTATTATATATGCCTAGAAGGATCATGTTTTTCATACATCTTTCTATTATAGTGTAAGATAAGGCCATGTCTGTCATGGTACTGGCTATTCTGAAATTTATTTGGTTCAGTAGTAGTTGAAGGACAGGTAGATCTTGCAGAATGAGGCCCACCATTTTCTTGTTATTTTTGCTTCATAACACACATATGGTCACTACATACTATTACAGCATGAGGAATAGCCCAGGCTTTGCATGAGTTCTTAATTTTGTATGTCTCTTAAGGTGTGTAATGTGTCACTCTCTTCCACAGAAACACAAGCAATGAAATACTTTGTGTAGTACCAATACATAGAGAGACTGTTCTGGAACAATTCTGGTAGTATAGACAGAGATGAAAGTGTACATAATAGAAATCATATAAACTTCACCAAGTTCATTTGTTATTCATTGTATTTCTTTCTTTGGTTTATTTAGTGTGTGAATTATCTGACATTCCTCTTCTGAAAAGAAAAAACCCCCATGCCTCGAGGCGTGTTCCACTGCTCCATCAAAACGTATGTGAGCAAGCCAGAGAGAAGAGAAAGCTTTTCAGACCTTACTTTTTTGATCATCTTACGGCTCCAAGGATAAAACAGAATAGTCCTCTGTGTGCTCTGGTTTATGCCTGTTTCCTTTGCAGCAAAGGGACCATGCCAGACTCCAGGAACTGTTGAAACTCCCAGGCTCTGGCCATGCCCCTTTCTGGCAGCTGCACTGCCTTACTGGGGAATTCAAGAAGGGAGCACAAAACTACTGTAGCCACAAAGGACTGTCAGTGTGCCACAGAAACAAAAAAGAATCTCGTTGTAAACAAACACATCAACTATTTGGGAGAAAAAGCATTGAGTTCGTTTTGGTATCACACTGCTTAGCCTTATAACTCCAACTTTTTTTTCCCCTTTGTTAGGTATTCTTGGCGCCATCAATTGCGGGAATTTAAAAGTGAATATCGAGTGGTGGCTCTGGATTTGAGAGGTTACGGAGAAACAGATGCTCCTTCTCACAAAGAAAATTACAAGTTAGATTGCCTGATAACAGATATAAAGGATATTTTGGAATCTCTAGGTGCGTTAGAAGACAAACTACTCGGCTCATAGATGACTTGATTTTCTTGGCAAAAAACCCCATAAAGATCTAGCACTGCTGTTTTTTAAAAGCCTGCATTCTCTAATATATACACATTACAGATATGTGTAGATATAAAGCTAAGGATACTCATATTTTATGGACTATTATCAATATTAATGAAAAAGCTTTGTTTTCTAATTGTGATGTGTATGTCAGTATGAACAATATGTAAAGATGACTTTCCATCATGTGTTTAAGAAAAAATTATGTGCTGTGAGATCCAGCAGTACAAACCTGTGGTCTTTTTCCTTAAGAAGGTCTTCGCTTACTCCTAATCATTGCACTTAATGGATAATGTTATGAATTAGAGTCTAATAGCATTTGCACACCAAAGAATTTAAATTGGGTGACATTTTTCTTGCACAAACAAGACAGAATAAATATTGTGGGCTTTATAAAGATGATGACAGTACATCTGCTGCATTTTTAAAAAAAATCCTAAAATATTACTCCTGCACAGTAGTCAGTTCTCAAGAGCTGAATCACTGTCTTACACAACAGTGAGAAGGGAGAACAAGGGACACATTGCTCCCTGTGGGAAATACACGGTGTAACAGTCTAGAGCTGAAGCGAGTCTGCAAAATTTGCCCCTCCAGTTCAGCCTGAAGTGTAGCTGTTTTGGCAATAAATTGTAACACCTAGTGAAGGGTTATTTCCCTTCCTTACCAATAGCAAGACAAGGGATTAGACTGTCATTCTCTGAATCATTTTAATTCCCTGGATACTCCAGAGGTAGTGAAAGAACTTACTGCATTTCGCATGAAGAAATGGTAAAGCAGTGATTCCAATTCTAAGGTTTGAATTTAGGATTTGCTTTGCTTGTTATGTTTGAATACTGTCAGAAGATTGGAGAGGCAGTCCCCACACTGTGTTTACATTTTCCAACCTTTGCTGGTTGTGTTAATCTCCATGGTAATGCCATGGTTTTACTTGTGAAGTGCTCTCATCATAATTCAATTTCATAGGGATTTAAAATTTTCTGGAAAGAGTATTTCTGAGGCTTGTTATCTTTGTTCTAACCCTAAGTTAAATACTTTTGGAGAATGTGATTATATCAAAAGTGCTCCAACAGATTTCTGTTCAAGAGGGGTTATAAGGTGCTTTGCCAGTGTGTCCAAATTTATGTCAGAATTCTAAACAATTTGGCTTTTATACATTTCATATGTAGTGCATGTGCTCAGTATTACAATCCTCAGTGAGGAGTGTGATGGTATCTGACACTACAATATGTATGTCAGCAGTGGTTGAAGGAGGAAGGTTAGGCTTTCAAAACAGTCATGATTTTTCTCCTGCCTTTTATTGCTGTTAAATTACCATTTCTATTGATGGAAGAATAAGTACATCAATGCTGAGAACTTCAAAAATTGCCATCAAAACAGCCTATGGAGACAGGCCTACTAAATATATAAATGCATGTATTTATGTGTGTGTATATATGCTATATATGTATGGCTATTAAGTAGAACACCCACTTTTTGCATAATGATGGTCAGTGCTTAGATAGCCTCCCATATTCAGAGAAATTCATAAAGATTAGTTTTGTTCAGGAAGGGCTCAGGAGATTGCTCAGTCTGTCTGCACTTTGAAACTCCAAACTCCCTAAACGTGACAAATGTGTGTGCATTATAACGACTGCAAGTTGAATTGTATATCTGACCCAACATTGGCCAAGATGTGAACAGAGTGGCCATTTGGATACCCAGTGACTTTAGTCTGACATTGAGGTAGTATAGTTAAAGTGTAATTGAAGTCCAATTAAATAATTTTAATTATTTTTTTTAACTATAATAGTGCATTATTTTCTTGCCATTAATGGAAGCAGCGCAGTGTGTTAATAAGTGTGCTGGATCACCTATTTTGCCCAATAATTATTTTATTGTATGTGATAATTTGTATGGATACAAATTCCACTGAAATAAAAGCACAAATCTGTGTTTATGTGGCAGGGTACAACAAGTGTGTCCTGATTGGCCATGACTGGGGAGGAATGATCGCTTGGTTAGTGGCTATATGTTACCCTGAAATGGTGACCAAGCTGATCGTGGTTAACTTCCCTCATCCTTCTGTGTTTACAGGTGAGTTTTATAGTAGTCGTCATTAACCCAGAGTATCTGCATTTTCATTAATACTGTGTTTGCTTTGAGATTGGTAAAGAAGAACCAGCTACTTGCCCCTTTAGATGTTCAGTAAATAAGTTGCCAGTACTCAGTGACTCTCACAATCTAGACAGTATTTTATGAAGCAGTAAGCTATCAAGTATTTGACTTCTGGAAATAATTTACTGCAGCAAGTGGGAGTGCTTGCAGCCAAACTTACTGATGTTTTTCTTAATCCTTGAAGGTCCACAAACATAATTTTCATATACATGAATCTGTTTTGTACCCCTTCGGCTGGATAAAATTCCCTGAGCTGGGGTGTATATTGCATTAAACATAGGTTAAGGCCTCACTGCATTATGAAATCTGCATAAAACAGCCTTTGTATAAATGAGAAACAGACATTAGAATTTAATCTTGATCTAGGTGACAAGTGACAATTTATGATCTTGTACAATATTCAGTGGAACAAGACAGCCTTTCCAGGCTACTTAGTAGAGGCTCAGGAATGTACTAGTAGTGAGCTGAAACAAGGATTTAGGTGCACTAGCGAAATTTGTTGTGTGACAGGCTTTGAGTCAGTCTACTACCAAGAATTACAAAACATTTCGTAGGGATTAGATCAACATTCAGTAATTAAAATGAAAGTAGTATCTCACTAATCTTAATTTCTTCAACTGCTGACCTTACCCTATTTCCATTTAAAAAGTCACCTCATTTCTCTAGAAATAGTTAAGAATATTCAGTGCAGCTTTAATTTTCATTTCAGTTGAATGTAAATCTGACTCTACACCACTGTGGAATCAGAAGCATTTCACATGTTGTTCTCACAGTCATCTTGGGCACCTTTCTAAGATGTTAAAGAACATTTTGCCAGGTTAAACCTCACTTACCCAAGGAGAGGTCTGTTCACCGCCACCTGAGCAAGCAGGAGCTTTTTGCAGTATTTTCACTGAGAGCAGGAGTTTTTTTGCAGTATTTTCACTGAGCACTGAGAGCAGGAGCCAGGCTGTATAGAAGACAAATACATTTTATTATAGTATTTGCATATTTGTTAAAGTACAAAATCTGTTCTGTAGCTTGATGAAGTCTCCCTGGATCAAATTTGTTCTGTTGTGGATTAAATGAAACTATCCAGTTTATAAATTGTGCAGAACTGTAAAGTGGGCAGTGTTGATAATGGTCCATCAAGGAAAAATACAATGGGTGATGCAACGTAAGATTGTATAAGATATGAAAGCTTAGAAGATAGCTGACACTTCAATTTACTTTGTTTTATAACCTCTTTTTATTCATTGTCAGAATTAATATTTCAGAGATATCTCCTATGTTGGGAGTGCAATTTTGCCTTCCTGAACTTGCATCTGTAAAGGATAGGTTCTAGGCTTCCTAGTACCTATACACATTCTGTGGTTGCTTCGAGGAACTTAAGACATTTGCGTGTCAGTGTTGGCTCTTGCAACTCATTGGAGACACAAAATTACAATAAAAACAAACAAAAAAAAAGACAATACAAATTTGGCTATGTAATTTTCTTGTTATATACGCTCCAATGTCTTTAAAAAGTGACACTATGTAGTCTTGATTATGGTTCTTGAAATTGCCAAGATGACAACTGTTAGAAACATTCTGTACTTTTGTGAAGAGGATTGATGCTGTCTTTAGAATGTAAGTGGATTATCATCTACAAATTTCTGTGCATCACATCTTCGATGAGAGAAATACTTAAAGATTTGTATTTGTGCCTCTTATTCCATAGCTGAAAAAAATGCTTTGGACTAGCTACACAAATAGATCTCTAAGTGAAAACCTCCCATGCGATTAAACTCTCCAGTGTCACTGCCCTCACCTAACTTTGGCAGGCTTCCAGTTTGCTGTTTCTATTAACACATATAAAAGAAGTATGTTTTAATGGCTACATCATATACTTACTCCTGAAACGATAATCATCTTTTGTCACAGAGCATGTGCTAATGTAATATTTTTAAAACATAATCCTTTAAGTTTAAAAAAAAATAATATTAACAGTAATTTTGAGTCATCAGTTTTCATTTTTAATTCATGGGCATTTTTGTTTCAGAATACATTCTACGACATCCATCACAATTGATTAAATCTGGTTACTACTTCTTTTTCCAAATGCCATGGTTTCCTGAATTCATGTTTACAGTAAATGATTTCAAGGTGAGCAAAATGAGTGCTCGTGTTTATATATTTAAACTGTGAGTGATGGAAGAATTGCCACCTACGTTGATCCCTCCTGATGTAGTTGTAATTACTAGGAAAAATACAGAACTTTCTGATTTTTCTTCTTCAACGTTATATATTTATATAAAGTAAGATATAAGGACATAGAGCCTCTGAGGTGCACTCTTGCTTTTGCGTTTCTGGGAGGCATTTAGGTACATACTTTTAACCTCTGGCACTACAGTGCATTATTCCCCCTAGGTAGTCAGCTGGTTTTACTTGTGCCTGTGCCAGCGGGACACATTTGGTGCCTGGGAAACTCCTGCTGACTTATCTGAAGCTCCTGTATACAGTGGGAGATCCTCTTATCCATCAGAGCCTGCTACAGGCAGCCTGGGCATCACGTTCAGCCAGGTGATTAATTCTGCCTGAGGAACCAACAAGGCCACATCTTGTCTTACCTTACAAAATAAGTATAAGCATATGGAAAGGGGAAAAGCACCTGCAGGCATGCATCCTCCTACACGTATACAGCCCAGTGCAGAGCCCCCAGTGCTGCATGCACATAGGGGACAGCAAGCTGGGGAGGTCCTGAATAATTCTCTCTCCGGCCCTCTCAGCTGCTGGGTCCATCCCAAAGAAGAGCATGTGCCTGCGCTTGCCTTTGCCTGTCACAGGTGGCAGGTCAGGGTGCAGAACTGAGTAACTTGGTAGTACTGCTATTTGCCTGTACTTGATTATTCTGAAGTAAGTTATACCAGAAATAAGTTTACTGTGTGCTTTACACACAGCTCTCTAAAAAAACCCCACATTTAAACCATTCATTATACTCTAAATAATGTATAAATATATTTTAGAAAGATGTGTCCTGTTGAAAGAGAGAAATCACACTTTCAAGCTATCTTATGTGGTGGCTTTTTATTTTTCCTTCTGTAGGTTCTGAAAAGTTTATTTACCAGCCAGGCTACTGGAATTGGAAGGAAAGGCTGCAGATTAACAACAGAGGACATTGAAGCTTATCTCTATTTCTTTTCACAACCTGGAGCACTAACTGGACCCATTAACCATTACAGAAATATTTTCAGGTCAGTAGAACATTCTGAAACAAGGTAAAATATTCTAGAGACACCTGGAGGCCAAAAATGTTATTGTGTCTTCTGCCGCTAAAGGAAAATCTAAAAACCCAAATCTGCTTCTGGTCTTAACAAGTAACAAATGCACTCACTGTCAAGCAGCGTGATGCAAAGCAAATTGTATGAGATACCCACACAAAACAGTGACACAATCAGAGTGGAGATAAGGAAAATCTTTGTTTCGAGATTTAATAAAGCAAAGACCTTTCCTCATTCACAGAACCCATGGCAATCACAAAAATCCATCTCTAATACTTTATAAAACTAACATCAATTAATTGTTTGTATTACAGTTCATATTATCTAATAATAAGCTTTTCATAGAGCTAGAGCTCTCTACCTATTATTATTAGGTAATCCTTCTACATAATACAGCATCCAAGTAACTCTCACTTTTCCTTGTAACTTTACAAACCTAATTTTATTGTCTTTGGGCTTTTTTTTATAAAAAGGTGGGGTAGGTTTTTTTGTTACTAAGCCTAAAAACTAACCCTAACTCCTTTTTTTTTTTTTTTTTTTTTTTTTCCTGCATTGGTCTCATCAGACTCAGTGGCAGCAATAAGCACATATAGTAGGGAGCATGCATAGACTAAAACTGATAGTATCGCAACAGGAGATATTTTTGCAAGCTTAATATTTATTTTATTTTCTCAAGCAGTTTTCTAATGATTTTATCTTTCCTGGAAGGAGTTGGCTTGGCCTTAGAGACTGATGCCCCTTTTTTATCTACCAAAAACTTACCAGGGCCAGGTGATGTTTAACTCTGCATATACTCTGCTTATGACTTGAGCCCTAACTTGAAGGACTATACCAAGAAGAGTGGGATCGAACTCATTTTCCCCTTACTGCCTCCAGTCTTCAACAGTGCTAAATCTCCTGAATGCTTCTCTAACACAGGACCAGCTTCCCAATATTCTTTAAAAATGACAATTCTCTTCCTTCCTTAAAATCAGACAGTAGATGTTTGAAGTAGAGTAACTTTTCATTTTCCCTGGTCCAAATTTAGCACTGCCTTTGCTGCTCTTTCTGTGCCTTCCATGCTGTCACTGTGAGGAAAGCAGACAGCAGGGACATACTGGGAGGAAAACAGTGATCTGAGCTAGATGCTGCCTGGTACAGGCTAAGAGACAAAACTTGAATGAGAAAGTAGAGAGGTGGTATATCTTCTTCTAAACAAGATAACACCAAGCGCAGACACTGATGGGGAAAAAATTAGATGGCTGTGCTGGTAACAGTATCCTTATTTAATGCTATGCAGAGAGTGGTTGATGACATCAGCTGGGGTGTCCCAGGGCGATGGGGAGCTGTGTGGCTGCACAGTGGCTCCCGGGCCCTGCAACTGCACTGCAGGAGCCCCCAGGGTAGGGCTAATGAGGAGCTGGAGCCTTGTTCATTACGTTTGCCACAGCACCTTGCATCAGTGAGTGTATGCATTAACCAGATGCTTCTCTGACAGTAACAGTGAAATATCTGTGATAGCTAATAGCTGAATTGCTCTGGGATCCAGATGAGACAAATGTAGGAGTTGTGTATGTTTAAACTATTGTTTCAGGCCTTTTCAGGCTCAAAGAGAGCCTAGTATCAGTTATTAATCAGAAAGTAGCTTCACAGCTATTATTTCCTCTGTGTCTGTGTATCTTTGTGCATTGTTTGCTTTATTTTTCTAATGCAAGTATACCTGTACTGAATCTAGAGAATATTCTTTTCGGTGATACCAGCCACAACATAGCAGGCTTTGGACTGGAAGGAAAAGATTGGTCTTCAACTCATTCAGTTCTTGCCAATTCTGATGGTCACACGTTATGGCATGTGAATCATTAAATATTAAAACTGGATTTAAATTTTCACCACTTCTCATATAAGCCATTGAGCAGCACTTGATGCTAACGACTTGTATTCACCATAACTCCCAGTGGGCTGGCACTGGTGACCTACATGTTAAAGGTTTCTAACTCATTACTATCCACCAGGAGTTTCGCTCTTCAGAGCTTAATTTTTCTGGAAAGTTATATCCAAAGAGATGATTGAAAACACTTACTTCCATCCATCACCAACACATCCTTGTATAAATAGCACAGCAGTCATTCCCTTCACTATACTTTAAATACTAACACTTTTGGAATAAAAATCATAAACCTTTTCTATCATGCTTGGTTAAGAGAAATAGGTAAGCAGTTGAAACTTGAATTTCTTCTGATATGTCTTTTCTTAGAAATTGATTACTTCTCTGATAGCACTTAAGAAGTACTTCAGTATTTGTTTACAGAAAAACTGTACAACAGTGCTCTATGAAGGTTTGAGTCTTTTTCAAAGACTTAAACCTCATGAGTGGAACTTCTCTTTCTAAATGTGAAATCTGCCTGTTAATCATTGTTAAAGGAGATTTCTAGAAACTTCAGGCATGATATAATGTCCCATATTCCAAACTGAAAAGAAATAGTGTAGCTCATAGGCAATGAAAAATGACAGGTTGTTTATCTATGCAGTGTGTGTAAAAAGCCCAGCAGAGTTTTCCTAAGTGAGGCTACAAATCTTGCAAAGCACTTAGACACAAAATAGTAATACACATAAAAAAATACACATATGAATAGTGAAGAGATCCAGGATACTGGATTTAACAGGTAAAGAGATTAGTCTAAATGCATTGAATCAGATTATCAATTTTTAAAACTGATACTATGAATAAGCTATGGTTCAGTGGGTACGGTCAGTTTGTTTTAAAAATGAGATTTTTAAATCCACTGCTACAAAAGCCATTTTAAGAATTTTCCTAATTCATCAGTCAAAATGAAACTAAATTATTTCAAGTGACCTTTTATTAATATTTCTTGACGTATAAGTAGAAAGGAAGAATGTCTTCAAAGTCTCCATTTCTTTCTCTTATTTTAAACTAACGCATGCCATCATCTTTGTCTTTCCCCTTTTACATAGTCTTAATTAACTCCTAAGTTTCAGCCTAGCACTTGTTTGTCATAAAAGTTTATTCAGAAAATCTTTTTTATACATTACTGGTTTTAAAAAATTCATGTTTCAGCATTAAGATGATAAAAATTTGTATCTGATAGATGGAATCTGTTTTGAATTGTCACAGGTAGTCTCTTACAATATGTGGCTAAGATTAAGCAATTCAAGCATAAATTAGACAAATTTTTCAGCATCTCTGAAATAGATGAGCTGGAATAAATTCTGGTGGGTTAATATTGTCTATATTGAAATAGTCTTTCATTTCTAGCTACTTGTATCTTTCCTAATGTCTACCATTAATGTCAGGAAATATTTATCAAATATACCATTTCAAATAATTGTATTATGGAAAAATAAATTTTTACTGAAAGGTTAAATAGGTCATTGTGGTATAATTTTTATTAAAATTTTACTTTTTATGGGCTTTTCTTGAAAGTATCGATAAAATGTCTTATAATGTATTTATCTTTAAATGCTTTCTAGTCTGCTAAATCTCTGGGTTGTGATGTTGCAGTTTTAAAGAGATTATGACTCCATGAAAGGCAAATTTTTAAGGAACAATTTTCTTTCACTGCATACAGCTGTAGGTATGTAAATCCAAGGCCTTCAAAAACATACTGTAGTTCTTTGTAAAGGGAACTCTGATGCACTTTGATTGTTGGCACGAATTTCACAGATGAGTGAAGGTACCTGACTTCTGTTCAGTATTTCAGACATCAGTGTTCTATAGAATATCTTTTTTACAGATATTTTTATTTTTAGCTGTATTACATGATACTTAATTTTGAGTAGATCTGAAACACTCTAGCTGGTATTTTCTATATTGTCCAGAAGTGGCAGCCTGCCATTTCCTAGACATTTTTTGATAAAGCAGTTTGGCTACTCAGGTAGCTGGATGCCTTGAACTATAGTCTAAATGTGATTCAGAGCATCATATTTCATTAAAACCTATTTGCAGTAAATAATGCAGATTCAGAAATTTGTCATAGCATTCATCAACCAAGGGAAAGCCACTGACATACAAAATTCTGACATTTTTGTTCTACAGAGATGATCGGGCTCCTGAGCTGTGCAACATGCTGAAGCATCATTCATGTTCAAAAAATAAGACCTCTGTTGCAATCAACTACTGATTACAGACATGTAACAGTAAATGTATCTTCTAACAATTTTACCATCCTTAAAAACAATGACTTTGAGTCAAGGGAGTATTTTCTTGGCATTGTAGAAGATATCTTGGAACCTAGAAAGCTTGCAGTGAGATTCACTGTGTTGATTTCAAAAGCTAAGTTGACTGAAATTTGTCTTGGTGATTTTTGTAAAAAAAAAAAAAAAGACCTAACTAAGTGTGTTTTATTTTTAAAGCTGCCTACCTCTGCAGCACCATGAAGTCATCATGCCAACCCTGCTGTTATGGGGAGAAAGAGATGCATTTATGGAAGTTGAGATGGCAGAAACGACGCGGATTTATGTTAAAAATCATTTCAGATTAACTATTTTGTCTGAAGCCAGTCATTGGCTTCAGCAGGGACCA